CATACTGGCACATTATGCTTGTAAATGTCAGGTTTCTCCCATGTTATTCCCATTCTCCACTTCTAGCTATTTCATTTTGGAAACTGTCGGCTCTAAATAGGACTTTAAAAAACCGTCATGTACCAGGTCTCATAACACATGGTGGGCCTTGCAAGAGGAGAGCCAACTCGAGGGGCTTCCTGCCCCCTGAGAAGCCAAGTCATGGGACAGAGTGGGCGCCCCTGAGGCAGCTCATGTCTTTAGGGACAAGCCCTGTGACTCTCCCAAGGGCTGTCTAAACACCTTCTTATGTCCCTCCTGTTTCCTTCCAGGAATTTGACAGAGAGGAAGGAAGTGGAAGACCCACGTCTTCATCCTCAAATATGTCTTGAGATATCTTTCAGATGGGCAAACCCTCATAATCCACGTAGGCCTCAGCTGCTACTTTTTTGTTTTCTTCATCTGTAAGCAAACCTTTCTAGGCAAGAATAATTTCAATAACAAGCATGAAGAAAGCTTTGAAATTGCACCTTGAGACACAACCTTCAGTTGTAGGACTCTCTGCCTGTCAAACAAGGGAGGGGGAGTAGATCAGAGTGGTGGACTCGGATGCCCCCAGGCAAGGTCGAGGCTGAGGCCAAGTGGAGAGTGTGGGCTCCATCTGAAGAGCTCAGCAGTTTCTTGGCTTTGTTCTCATGGTAAGGGAATGCAGGCCTGGCCATTCTGTGTCTTTTAACTTTTCCAGAGAAGCTAGACATCTGGAATTTTACTTGAAAGATCATTATTTAAAATGTTAGCAATTAGTTCAAAATCTTTAGAAATCCTGTACAAGACCAAGCAAAACATGTCTGTAAGCCAAATCTGCTCCCCAGGCTTCTGAATAAGTTGATGACTAAGGTCTTGCTGAGTTAAGTGTTTTTAGTGTCTGTTATTCTCACATTCTCTCTCGGAGTAGAACATACGGTGTCTTGCTGTGTCTCTCTGTGGCCAGAAGTAATACAGGGAAGAAGGCTGGGAGCCTGGGTTGAGAGACTTGATTTGATTGCCACCAGGAGGTGCCCAGAGGCCCTTTCCACTTCTCCCAGGAGACTCTGGGACTTGTGTAAAATGCTTGCTGTGGTGGCTACTGCCCCAGAACAGCTGCTGTTTACCATCTGGGTAGTGTATCAATTCTGTGTCAAAGCAGATGGAGCTGAAGTTTTGGCCAACCAGTTTTACAGCCAGCCTGGGGCCATCTCAAAAGATATAGCAGCTCGAAGATGTAAGCTCTTCTTTCTGGAAGCAAAAGGATCTCAGATTTTTGTTTTTCTCCAGGTTTGTGAAGCGTATTATTGTTTAGGAAGCTACCAGTATGGATGGGACAGCGTTTTTCTCCAGCTCTAGTAGTGTGGGATTAAGGGAATAGAATAAGGCAGAGAGCCGTGTGTTGGGCTAAAAGTACTGCTGAAGTGGCCCTCAGGTAAGCCAGCATGAGACAGGACCACCCGTGCCTGAGCTGTGCTGTGTCACGAGGGCCACCTATGGGAAAATAAAGAGGAGAAGGAATTACAAGTTTTTCCTCATTGAAGAATCAGAGCATGCATTGGAAAAATTAATATTCATCAATTAGCCTACTTTTTGCTGATTACAACACGGTAACTCTAAATTTCAGCTAGCTCCTCTTTGAGAAGGTGATGGAAGCAGCAGTCCCCCTTTTTAGAAAATTACAAATAATGAAGGAAGTATTTTAGGCTTTGTGAACCATATAATCTCGGTTGTGACTATTCCCTTCCTCTCTCTTCATGTGAAAGTATCCATAGCAATCGATACCAACCACAGGAATGGGTGTGGTGGTATTCTAATAAAACCTCAGCATTCAGAAACAAGTAGCCTGCTGCATTTGACCTACAGGCTATAGTTTTTTGACTCCTAGTTTAGAACATTGACAGCTATGATAGATTGGTATTTGTCAGCAAATACTTACCTTCTCCTCTTTGGATGGAGTGTATACATCTTAGCTCCGTGCCCTTTGGGCTTTAACCAGTAGAATATGAGCAAACACGATGTGTACAGAGGTTACACTGTGCTCACATAGCTGAGCTTGTCTCCTGTGCTCTTGGCATTTGCCATGAAGAGAACGTGCCCCAGGTCGTCTTGGACTAAGGGGAAAGACAGACAGGACAGTCTAAGACAGACTTAGACCCAACACATGGTTTGAAGCCAAGCTCTTCTGTGCATCGCCTGAAGCAGAGTTGCCAGCTGGGCTCAGACTAGACCAGCTGAACTGAACTAGACCCATGAACTTGGGAGTAAATGTAGATTGTTTTAAGCCTCAGAATTTGGGAGTGGTTTATGAACACAGCTTGACTGTCAAAATAGCCAACACAGAGGAGGAGCCTTACCTATCCAGATAAGACAGTTAAGATAGGAATCTCTTTTTTCAAAAACCAAAACAACAAAAGAGGATTCCCATCTCCCCACACAAATTCCAGAGGAAAATAAGGTGATGTTTTTCTTTGTTTTATAACCCTCCACTCAGCTCCTCCTCACCTGCCCCCTCTCCCATGCTCCTTCCATCATTGGAATAAACCCTGCTTTGTAGATTCAGGCCCCCATATGTACAGCTGATCAGTACTTACCACCTCTTTAGAGAGGCATAGCTTTCCTCAAGCCAACTCCGGAGAGGACTCAGTACAAGAACTGGGTGTTTGATACTTTCTGCACTGTATCTGGGAAAATATCCAAGCTCTTCCTCAAAAATGAGCAGTAGAGGTTTCCAAGAGCCCACTCTGCATTATTGTGTGGGCTAGATGCTAGGCAGGATTTATCCAGTCAATATCTGTTTTGTTTCTGCTGCATGCTGTGTGCTGAGGTGGTCCCTGAGGACACAAGGGTGTGCAAATCAAATTCAAGGCCTTCAAGGAACACTCCAGCTAGCAGGAGAGATGGGCGAGTTAAGTGGGTAATTAAGGCACAGTGTGGTAAGCATTATCGTAAGTGGCATATCCACAAGCTTGAGGGAGCTTGGAGGAGATGTCCTTGGCCTTGCCTGGGGATAGGAATGTGGGGAGCATTTCGGGAAAGTCTTCCTGAAGGAATTGACACTTGAACCGAATCTTTCTGAAAGACATGGTTAAGGTGAAGTCCTGCAGTTGTAGAGCAGAAAAGAGGCTTTAGAGATATCTTCCACTTTACTCATTAAAAGGAAGCTTTCGCTCCCTTTTAAAATTTCAGTCTGTCCCAGACAGAGGTCCATCTGATAAGAGTCAAGCTGCTCAGAGCAGTCTGTGCCATGGGTGACTTTACTATTAAAGCCATTGCAAATAGCGTCTAAACATTCTAGCTAATTAGCAGTTATATAAACACACATGTGAGAAATAAGGTAATGATTCTTATTTCCCAAGTCAGATGCACAGCGTTGCATGCTGTCAGTTTTTAGTTGGAAACAGCCTCAGATTTCTCGGCTATTGGTGTTTGCTGTCCTTTTTCATTGATCAGGGGAAAGGAGAATGAGTAAGACTAAGAAAATGAACTAATTACCTTGCAAACGGTTTTCTTCCTAAAAGCAGTCCTCTATTTGAATTGTGAATTCTTTAGATTTTCTGTACACTTTAGTAGATTTGAGCCATTGATACGAGAATAAATTATTAAAAAAACAAGTACAGCCCTATTAGCACTACTCAGGCCAAGACCACGCTTGTGCCCTCTAGTCACTTTTTCCTTCCTTTTGCTTGGGAGTAATCACTGACCCAGTGTCTAATGACACAGATCAACTTTTGCCTTGAAGGTCTACAGTTAAGTTCCTTTAGATTACCAGAAGTAGGGTTACAGGATCAAGAAATACAAATATTTTAAAGCATCATAGTTCATATAACCAAATTGCTTTCAAAAATGTTATGTCATTGAATCACTACACTGTATGAAAATGTGGGAAGCACTTTTGTCCCTGAGTGTGGGGAAGGAGAGAAATGAAAAGCCAAGTGTAAAGACATAGGACCAAATGAAACCTTTTCACTTTAGGGAAATTCCAGCAAATGTTTTGAAGTGGTATTTTGCCCAGCTGAAAAATGTTCTGCTTTCTCTGGACTTTGCCAGTCACCCCATTGTGGCAGAAAGGAGAGCATGGGAGCCTTGCGCTGGTTAAGCTCTGGATGTAAGTGACACACGTTACACGGCCAGAGAAAGGCACGAAATTCAGCAGAACCAGGGGTGTGTAGTCCTCCCTCAGGAAGCGGTAATGTAGGGAGGGAAACCAGAATACTTAGCAACGAAAAATACCATCCATCGTAATATTCCCTATTTGCTGACTTTGCCCCATCCTTGGGGAGATCGATCATTCAGATTGCCAGTCTTTTATTTTAGAAGCACGTGCTGGCCTTGAGGGGCGGGATCCTCCATATGGGACAGTGATTGTTGGAGTTATCAGTGGGGTGTTTGTATATGGTAAACTTCTTAGGGTGGGCATGGTTCTTTTCTAAGGAGAGGCACGGAAACATACTTATTCATTAACAGGTAATGGAAATGCAAATTTGGTTTATTAGATACCTGTGGTGGAAAGCAGTTCCTCTGTAGGAAGTACATTTTTTCATAGCTGATTTACGTGTTTTAGTTACGTGCTCTCAGTGAGGCTGTTCCGTAAATGTTTCCTGGTCCACAGGGAATGACACTGACAGAATTGTAGAAGTTTTCTGCCTGGCGCAGCAAGAGAGCTGCGTTGGCTTGTTCACCCAGAGACATGCTCCAGGTTCCAGGCACATTTTTTTGTTGTGGTTAACAACCTGTCTTTACCATTTACTGTAAATTTGTATTCTTTTTTACTGACAGTCTTTTCCATAATAGTTTTTTTTGGAGTAGTATCGATGGATAACATCAAGAATTGCTTCTCGTTTCACTTTCTCACTGTGTCTTCATCAGGACAGAAATGTCTTCAGTTCAGACACCCTGATGCTCAGAGAGATGGACTGTTGCACGGGGATGGGGGTCACACTGCAGTACCAGGTGGGCTCTGATTTAATGTGGTGTCTCTCTTCCGTTCCCCAAAGATCTCTTCCCTCGAGGGATGGTGAAGTTGGAGAGAGGCTCCTTTAACCCTCCTGCAGGATGAACCCCCTGCCAGAAGACATGGAGAATATTCTCACGGGGAGTCAGAGCTCACACGCTTCTGTGCGCGACATCCACTCCATCAACCCCACGCAGCTCATGGCCAGGATCGAGTCCTATGAAGGAAGGGAGAAGAAAGGCATATCTGATGTCAGGAGGACTTTCTGTTTGTTTGTCACCTTTGACCTCTTATTTGTAACATTACTGTGGATAATAGAGTTAAATGTAAGTGGGTTTTGTTTTTGTTTTCTGTGACATTATGTGAATTGTTTCCAGAGACAAAATTATTTCTTATTTTTCTCATCATTTCTGTCTCACTTTCATGAATTCCATCTTTCTTTCAAATGAGGCATTCTTGGTCTTCTCCAGTTGATTTGAACTTTCCTTGTTTTTTACTGTTATTGTTTAAAACAAACCTGGTTAGTTTAAAATGTATTTTAAGGTTATGAAAGTTGAATTCATGGGGTTTTATTTTGTAACAGGAGTTGGCAAACTGCAGTCTGAGAACCGAATTCAGGTGGCCTGGTTTTATAAATAAAGTTATACATTGTCTGTGGCTGACTTTCATACTGAGCGGTTGAGTTGAGTAGTTTTGACAAAGTCCATCTGGCCACAAAGGGAAAATTTTTTATCCCCTGGCCTTTTAAAAAAAGAAAAGTGCTGGCCTTTGCTTCAAAAAATGTAGCATGCTTCTGGATTATGTTTTAATGTTACATCTACTTTCTAGTTCCTACATTTAAGATTTTTGCATGCACTTATTTTTTATGTTTTTTCAAAGAGACTATTTATTCATATTTTATCCAAAAATAATCTTAGAGACATTTGGAGGTTTGTCTGTTTAGTCAGCTTTCTGTGGTTATGTTGCCAAATAATAGTCTAGACTAGTACTGTCCTTGTTCAGGCGCTCAGTCCTGTCTCTTTGTGACCCCATGAACTGCAGCACACCAGGCTTCCCTGTCTTCCACTATCTCCTTGAGTTTGCTCAGACTCATGTGCATTGAGTCAGTGATGCCATCCAGCCATCTCATCCTCTGTCACCCCCTTCTTCTCTTGCCCTCAATCTAACCAGCATCAGGGTCTTTTCCAATGCCCTAGTGAAATACAATGCAAGCCTTATATGTACTTTTAAGTTCTCTAGTTGCTACATTTCATAAAAGTAAAAATAAACAGGTGATACTCATTTTAGTAATATATTTTATTTACCCAATATATCTGTTTTCTCAAAAACCTTGCCTTTGACTGTTTCTAGAAAATATGAAAGGATGCTGAGATTCCTGTTGGAAAATTATTTTTAATTTTGCCTCGTAATAGAGTCAGTGTCTTAATCTAAACTGACTAGCATTCTGATTCATACCAAGAATTTCTGTTTTAGATGCTTATTGATTAGCATCTTTGGAGTCATTTAATTTTGTCATAAATTCTAATAGAGGAATAAAGCTCTTTTTGAAAGCAGATACATTAGAAAATAAAAAGCATTTTTTTTTAAAGAAGAGAAGATTGATTCCATAATTAAGGTCATGTGCAACACGAATCTACTGTTAGGTTTCTGTTCACAGATTTTCCTTCTTTTAATCCAACTCTGTGGGTGTGCTCTATTATTATTTAAAGCCAGAGAAGCCAGTGATATGACAACAGTAATTTCATGTGTCTCTTTTTACTATGTATTGCATCAAAGAATATATTTCAATTGACATATTTAAAAGAATAGTGTATTTTCAAAACAAGCAGCTGTGGAATGAGAGATGAAAAAGAAATACATCTTTTAATAGGAAAGCTTAACAGTTTTAAGGAAGCACACTTATCATTATTATAGTGATAGCACAAAATCAAGGCATTTGTTGGTTTGCCACTGATATGACCACACTGAATGCGTTTAAGTAAGAGAAGCTGTGACTGGGGCTGTGGTGGGTTATGGGGTTACACTTCTCACTTCCTTCCTTCCTTACTGCTTTGAGGAAATTGGAATGGAAGTGAAGTAAGTGGGATGCGCCCTGTTTCGTTCATCATAAGGGACCTGTTTCCATCTGCATGCAACTTGTTATAAATGAAAAATCACCAGGCCTAGCAATTGAGAAATGTGTTTTTATCCTCACTTTTCCTCTGACTGCCAGTTTCCTGATTTGTAAAAAGATCATAAAAGAGTATATGATCTTGACTTTCTTAGCAATGCAGTTTTTTTTCCTCTAAAGGCACATTTAATTTTCTGGTTCTGTTTGTTTAGCACTGTCAGTCCTGACCTGGGGTTTTTCACTACACGCTGTACTGTCCCTTTTCTTTGTTTTTTGTAAACCTCTGCAGTCACTCAGGCCTGTTGTTATTTTTACGTGCTTGTACATTTACTGAGTGCCAAGACGTAGGATTCTGACTGAGGTGCTGCAGGCTCTACAAAAAGCTCCAGGAGATTTAAAGTTTACCTGAGGAGATATAACAGGTATCTTATATTGCCTCCTGGTGTTAATCTTTAAAAGAGGAAAGAAATAGCATAGAGGGAACTTAGGCCTTCAAACAAATATGGGGACCCAGATGTTCTAAGCAATCATAGTAATAACCAAAATACTTTGCCTTCACATACAATTTCCAAGTTGGCCACTTTCCTCCTGACTCTGGGGAGCTGACTGGCGCCAACCCAGCCTGGAGCATGTGGCCTGGGCGAGCTGGAGTGGCCTAAGAGCACCATGGTTAATTTTCCTGCCGAAAGACCTTGGGGTGGCTGATTTCTTTGGGTCCAGTTGAAGGGATGGTTCTGGTTCTATGTCAGACCTTTTGGTACATGCCTGAGTAGACTGATTTCTCAAATTGGATCTAGAGTTCACCATTGGCTTGGTTTGCCTGAAGATTCTATTTCTCTTTTCCCCTAGACTCTTAGGGGACAGGGACAGGGAACAAAATGGCAACAGAAGAGAAATCATTTTTCTTTCTCAGCTTTTGATGCCTTGGTTAAGATTATAGATCAAGAAAGGCCATTATCAGTTCTTATTGCCAGTCTTACTGTATTTTCCAGCTGACGTATTTGAAAGGGCCAGGATGCTTCTGGTTTGCCTTGGAGCCATCATGACCAGCTCTGTGGCCTCAGGCAAGCCACTTAAGTTCTCTGAGCCTTGGTTTCTCAGTCAGGTAACGGAGCTGATACCTGTCTTGCCTTCCTTGTGACTTCTTGTGAGGATCAAATGATAAGATATATACCACAGCCCCTTGGCAGTTATGAAGCTCTATATAACTATAGATTATGTAATTTACTGTTAGCTAAAGTAAATTTTGGGCTTCCCTGGTGGCTCAGATGGTAAAGCATCTGCCTGCAATGTGGGAGACCCAGGTTCGATCCTGGGTCGGGAAGATCCCCTGGAGAAGGAAATGGCAACCCACTCCAGTGCTCTTGCCTGGAAAANTGGTTCTAGACTATTGAAAATCATAAAACAGCTAGAGAGAAGTGTTGGACTTACTGCAGTTGTGAGCTGAGGTAGATTCTAGAGCAGACTGGAAAACACAGTTTTGAGATCTTCCAGTAGTGATTCATACTCCACATCACATCATGACCTACCTGCTGTATCTTTTTGGATGCTTAACGAGACATGCTCACTAGTGACACACACATCCTTGCTTTCCTTCGCTTTGTTCTTTATCAGGAAACGATACCCAGATGCTCAAGCCAAAGGTTAAGACTCATCCTTGATTGATTTGCTTGGTTTATTTTGTCTTTCTCATGCCTCCTATCCTTAAAAGTAAGGTCAAATCTGCCTGCAAAACACTCACAACGTGACCTCTTCTTCCCGTTTCTACCATTACCACCCTTGACCAAGCCAACATTATCACTCAGCCAAACTACTGCACCCGATCTGGGCCTGACCAGTTTACCTGCTTCCATGCTTCTGTGTTTGTGTGTTAGTCACTCAGTCATGTCCAACTCTTTGTGACCCCATGGACTGTAGCTCACCAGGCTCCGCTGTCCATACAGTTCTCCAGGCAAGAATACTGGAGTGGATAGCCATTCCCTTGTCCAGGGGATCTTCCCAACCAAGGGATTGAACCCCGGTCTCCTTCTTTGCAAGCAAATTCTTTACCCTTTGAGCCACCAGGGAAGTCCTGGATTCCACACTTGCCCTCCCCAAATCCATTCTGATAGAAGCCAGAGTGGCTTTTAAAAGTAGAAAAAATAGAAACATAAATCAGATAACATTTTCTGTTTAAAACTTTTCGCTGACCTATCAGAGCACTTATAATAAAATCCAAAGCCCCCAAGAAGTCAACCCCAATTTCCTTTCCCACCCTTTGTTCCTGGCCCACCCAGGTCAGCCAGACTTCTGTTCACAGAATGGAACAAGCTCTCTTCTGTCTTCGACCCTTTCTTCTATATGAATTGGTTCGTTTCCTTCATCTTGATGTAGATTTTGTCTTACTATGCTAGTATCAGTCATTTCAACTGATTTAATTCATTTAAATCAGCCACCAAGGGAAGATTTCCATGACCACCCACCACAGAGGAGTCAACGGTTATTCTGCCACACTGTCCTGCTTCTGTCCTTTGTAGCACTGATTATCTTTTTTCTGATTTTCTTATGTGTTGTCTGTCTGCGCTTGCCAGAATGTTAATTTTACAAAGACATAGATATTCACTTGTTTACTGAAGTATTTCCTGTGTGTAGAATAGTCCTTGGCACTCACTAGGTGCTCAACAAATACTTGGTGAATGGATCAAGTTCATGGCAGTGGTTTGCAGATTAGGTTAAATTCCAGGCAGATTGATAGTATGAACGTTAACTCAGAAGTTTTTGAAGGAACTCCGTGGAAGGTTGTGGAAGTAGAAAAGAAACAGCTAACTTGAGAGACGTACTAAAGGAAGAAATTTAATGATTTGTTGATAAACTGATTTTATCACCCCAGTATCTAAAGATGACTCTTGAGATTTCTAAGGACAGCATCTAGAATAACAGTACCAGTTCTGACAGAACCATGATTGGGAAGGAGGGTCCATGTGAAAATAAAGATGAATCTGTTTGGGACATCTTGTACTAGAGACCGAGATTTTGAAGCAATTTTGAGTGTAAGTTGGGGTTAGAGATACAGGTTTTACTCTATTTAAGTTCTCTTTTGTGCACATGCTCAGTTGTGTCTGACTCTTTGCAACCCCATGGACTACAGCCCACCAGACTCTGTCCGTGAAGATTCCAGGCAAGAATACTCGAGTGGGTTGCCATTTCCTGCTCCAAGGGATCTTCCTGATCCACTCTCTTGCATCTCCTGCACTGGCAGTTGGCTTCTTTACCGCTGAGCCACTGGAGAAGCCCTTTTTCTATTTAAAGGCAACGTGAAATGACAGTTTGTTTTAAAGTTTATGGATACTGAAGAGAACCTCTTTCTACTGGCTTGTTACTGCAGAAGCGTATCAGCAGCATTAATTCCCATTCTTGCAGCCAGGAGCGTTGGTTTCTGTGTGATAGAGAATGCCTCTTTGCCATAGTCTACTTGGAATAATCATTTTTTAGAATATTTTGGATATTAAGTTTCCCTGGTCTGGAGAGACATAGCAGTGAAACTAGATGGTTGGTTGGCTTTCAGTTATTTCTCCTTGCTTCCAGGTTTTCAATACTATTCATTGGTGAAGGCTTATAGTCAGGTCTGTAGCTCATCTGCACAAATTACACAGAAATGTAAGCCTCCTTAAGGGATTTAAGGTACCAAATAGTGTTTGTTTTATATTCCATTTTTATAACAAGTACAGTTGACCTTGGACAGTGCAGGAGAGGGGATATATTGTATAATCTATAGCCAGCCCTCCATATCCATGATTCTCCCACACCCATGGGTTCAATCAACCATGGACTATGTAGGACTATATTTACTGTTGAAAAATAGCCACCTGTAAGTGGACCCATGCAGTTCAAATCCCTGTTGTTCAAGGGTCAACTGTACTTGAAAAGGTATCTAAGCCAAGAGGATTCTTTCCTCGTGTCAACTTTTACTTTAATACAACCAATTAGTAAATCGTAAATCCCTGATAGCTCAGCTGGTAAAGAAATCGCCTGCAGTGCAGGAGAACCCGGTTCAATTCCTGGGTTGAGATCTGCTGGACAAAGGATACGCTACCCACTCCAGTATTCTTGGGCTTCCCTGGTGATTCAGATGGTAAAGAATCCACCTGCAGTGCAGGAGACCTGGGTTTGACCCCTGGGTTGGGAAGATCCCCTGGAGGAGGGTATGGCAACCCACTCCAGTATTCTTGCCTGGAGAATCCCTATGGATAGAGGAGCCTGGTGGGTTACAGTCCATGGGGTTGCAAAGAGTTGGACACGACTGAGCAACTTTCACATACATACACACACACACACACACACACACACACTAGTAAATCATACCAAAGTATTCCTTATTGACTTTTTCTCCTTTTATCTTTTACCTAGATCTCTGGTTAATTGCCCTCTAATTTGTCCTCAGATAACTGCACTGGTTTGTCAGGACCAACAGTGTCTGTACTCCAGATTGGAGACTTGAATTTGCTATTGTACATCCTGTTCCCTGTTATCAGCTCATTCATGGTTCCTCGAAGTTATAGAGGGTCTGCTTGGGTCCTTTCTTAGCTGTCAGACATGTGGTCCTTTCTGATTTTTTTTTTTTAAAGAATACTACTTTTGAAAAAGTAGTATTCTTTATAGTTTGATATGCAGAATTTTAAACTTGATCATTTAAAATTTATCTTGATAGAATTAGGAGAGGACAGAAAATTTATCATAATAGGTTTACTTTATATCATCTTCTATAACTTTGTCACATATGAGGTCTAGCTTGGCCTTTATTTTGTTATCTATTCAAGGGTGCAGAATTTTAAAATGCAGAAGCAAATAGGAACAACCACAGAGATTTTTTACATTTCTCTTCTGTCTCTTCTGTGTGATAACTATTGTCAGTCATGGATGTTTGCTAAGCGATTAGGGGACAACTTGGCCTTCCAAGACTTAAAATAGTGAAGAGTGATCAGAAAGTGAGGGGAATCCTGGATAAATGTTAATTGTCTTCCATAAAAATACATGTTTGTATGACTGAAGACATTCTCTTGTAAGAGAAAAAAAAATCATGTTTAACATTTTAGTGTGCCAAAATATAAGCTTCAAAAACGCATTGTTCACCATTATCTATTTGTTGAATTCAGAATTGAAGTGGGAAGTGCCCTTCACCATTTTTCTCTTAGAAATATGAGGGTTCTTAACACGTTTTAAAATTTCTGGTTATTGTTCTCTGTCTTCTGAAGAAGATAGAAGAATGTTTGTAAAACCTTCCTTGTGTGTTCTCCTGTTTTATTTTTGCACATGACTCTCTCATTTTTATTTCTATTTTTTTTTTTTTAAAGAATACTACTTTTGAAAAAGTAGTATTCTTTATAGTTTGATATGCAGAATTTTAAACTTGATCATTTAAAATTTATCTTGATAGAATTAGGAGAGGACAGAAAATTTATCATAATAGGTTTACTTTATATCATCTTCTATAACTTTGTCACATATGAGGTCTAGCTTGGCCTTTATTTTGTTATCTATTCAAGGGTGCAGAATTTTAAAATGCAGAAGCAAATAGGAACAACCACAGAGATTTTTTACATTTCTCTTCTGTCTCTTCTGTGTGATAACTATTGTCAGTCATGGATGTTTGCTAAGCGATTAGGGGACAACTTGGCCTTCCAAGACTTAAAATAGTGAAGAGTGATCAGAAAGTGAGGGGAATCCTGGATAGATGTTAATTGTCTTCCATAAAAATACATGTTGGTATGACTGAAGACATTCTCTTGTAAGAGAAAAAAAAATCATGTTTAACATTTTAGTGTGCCAAAATATAAGCTTCAAAAACACATTGTTCACCATTATCTATTTGTTGAATTCAGAATTGAAGTGGGAAGTGCCCTTCGCCATTTTTCTCTTAGAAATATGAGGGTTCTTAACACGTTTTAAAATTTCTGGTTATTGTTCTCTGTCTTCTGAAGAAGATAGAAGAATGTTTGTAAAACCTTCCTTGTGTGTTCTCCTGTTTTATTTTTGCACATGACTCTCTCATTTTTATTTCTCCTGCCCTTCCCAGGTGAATGGAGGTATTGAGAACACGTTAGAGAAAGAGGTGGTGCGGTATGACTACTACTCTTCTTACTTTGATATATTCGTAAGTATTCGCTGTCGTACATCTCATTTTGGACATGATGAGACTAACCAAAAGGCAAACTCTCAGTAGACCTCAGTTTCTGTGCAATTCTTTTTTCCTCTTTTAAACATTATCTTTCCTTTCCCTTTATCCTTGGGCCATTCAGTGCTGTCTCTCTCTGGTCATTTCAAGGAAAGAAAAGATTAATGAGAAATAAGGGAGCATAGCAGAAGCAGCCATTCAGATTTTCCTTTATTCTTTCAAAAGTAGCTGAGATAGTAGCCATCAGCAGATGCTACAAAGGAAAATTTACCTGTTTATATAATAGCACAGTGAAGATGCCATTCGTTTCTCTCTTGTGGTAGATTTCTGAGTGTATTTTTAATAATGATTCTGTTTCATTTTTCCATAATAGGAGCTTTTGAGAAAACTGATATAACAGTTGACAATCTTGGGCAACATTAGTCAGTTGTAGAATTGTATAGATGCAGTTCTGTAGGTGAGGTGTTCATTTTATTCAAAGGAATATTTGCAGTATCTTTCTAGGATACATTGTTACTTTGATTGGGTTTGATAGATCTCCATGGTATCTTTTTACAGGTGATAGTGTGAATAAGTCAGGTCCTAACATTGTGTTACACAGTATAGGCAATTGAAATTCATTAAAAATTCCCCCAAATTCATTTTAACTACTTTATTCAGTATCCTTAAAAGCTGTGTGCACAATGGTTAAGACCCTTACAGTCAGAAAAACCTGGGTTTTATTCACAACACAGCCACTAATTGTATATCTTTGTATATATTAGGTCTAAACTTCAGTTTGCTCCTATGTGAAATGAAATCATCATAGTTTTGAAACATAAATAAGATAATACCCAGAAAACACTTAGCCCAATGAAAGGTATGCCTCAGAAGCTCAGCGATTTACCTCCAATCATTGTTATCATCATCATTAGCTTTGGTTGAAAATATTAATGGTTGTATTTTCTAGTGGCCTTTGAGCTGCTCTGAAAAGTCTAGCTTGTTTTGTTTTTCTGACTCGCCGTGCTGAAGTGTGAAGCAGGGAAGAGATGGGATTCCCAGCAAATAGACATCCGGGTTCCTTGTCATCACCCACTTGGAGTCGGAGTCAATTCCATTTTCATCTGTACAGTATGTTAGTGTTCCAGTAAGATTGTTTTGAAAAAGTGTTTGGCTGCCACAGAGTATTTGAAAAACCACTGATATAATTTAATCTGCTTTTCCAGAGGAAGACATTGAGTCTCATGGGTCAGTGTCTTGACCTACCCCACGTCACTGAACTTGTGGCAGAGCATGTTAGATCCTAAATCTCTTGATAATTTTCTTTCTGTAAAGCTATTGACATGTAATAACAAAATTGACTTCTCTCTTTGCTTTTATTTCCTCTGATGAATTTGTCTTAAGTAGTCTGAGCCAGGAATTATTAGGAAGCCAAGTTAATCCTCTGGACATATCTCCAAGGGTTGTCTGAACTCTGCTTAGAGAGTTAATGATATTGGACAATTAGGTGGGACCTATTAGCTCAGCTTGGAAAGACTGTCACTCTTGGCCTTGGAAATGGACACAGCCTCCAGGAAACCTTGGAGTCTGGGAGACTTTGAGATAAAGGAATAAAGATTTATGCCTTTGCCAAGTCCAGAATGCAGAGATAGGAGTAGGATAAATAAAGAAACTAAATCGTTAGCACATTACTGGTAAACCCATTTTTAATAAAAGCCGCAAATTAAAACAAATATAGCTGCAAACTTCATTTACATGAAAGGGTCTTGAGTGAGGTCATACAGCCAATGACAGCAATGAAGTTGTCAGCTTCCAGCCCTTCAGCAGTTTTGATTAGTGAGGAACATTTGGCAGACCCCTACCCCGAGGCATTACTCAAGAGCCACCTGACTTCTTACCACTCAGAATAAGCATATTTTTCAAGTAAAATAGGTAAAATTTTATTCTATGTTTATTCCTTAGTAAATGAGAATTACTAAGACAATTGGAATAGTGGCTAAGTGCCTGATCTTTGAAATCAGGCTATTGAGGTTCAATCCTGGCTTCCTCACTAAGATTGTGTGGCCTCAACAGTTTCTGTATCCATTGTAATGGTTGCTGACTCATGGAATTGCTGGGGTGGGGGATTATGTGGGACAGTAATACATATAAAGCATTCCACAAAAGTCCCTGAACCATGGTGAACAATCAGAGGGCAGCTCCTGGGATTGCAAAACTCTAGCAACACACCAGTAACTCAGATCTTTCCAGTGGACTTCACTAACAATCTGGTATCTTCTGAAAGTGAGTGGAAAGGTACTTGGAGTGGAAAGTCAACTTTCAAAACATTGTCTCCCACCTTTAAGGATATCAGAATCTNACATTGTCTCCCCACCTTTAAGGATATCAGAATCTATGTGGACTCAAATAGAAAGGTAAAAGAAACACCTCACTATATATTCTTTTGTTGATAATGGGAAGTTAATTTGAGTCCCTGTCTATGTGATATTCCACAAATTCTAGAGCAGAGATCCCAAACTAGTCTATAGACCAGTCATACACCAGTAAACACACACTGTCTGTGACAGTTTTCAACTAAATCAGAATAATAAAAACACTTTGGTGGGTTCTTCATAAAACTTAATGTATACCTTTGTGCATATCCCTGAAAACTTGTCTTTTTTTTTATATAGCTTTTGGCAGTTTTTCGATTTAAAGTGTTAATACTTGCATATGCGGTGTGCAGACTGCGCCATTGGTGGGCCATAGCGGTGAGTATGCCTGCTGAGCGGTTCCCACCTCAGTGCTCGTGACCAAGGCCTGCTCACAAGAGGCCTGAGCTGGGGGCATGTGTGGTTCCACCCGAGTTGAATCCTCCTGGCTTCTCCTGAATCCCTGTCCTTCACACCTCAGTAGGTTTCGTTCTCCAGGGCTTCTCTCCAGAAGTGGTGAGTAACTAGGTTTATTGCTATGGAAGCTGAGACAAAGGGGGAATCCAGGGGACTAGCAGTGGTTGTGGTCCAAGCACCAGCCCACCCTCTACCTCATTTTGCAAATGAGAGATAAGTTCAGTCCCACTGTCTCAAAGCAGTTTGGACCCTTTCCTCTTGGGTTGAAACATCTTGGTGATTTTTCGCCATTTGGTCTCTGCTGATTTTGATCCCTGCCTTCCTCCCTGTGTTACCCACCTCCCTCCAGTTTTAAAGGTAAAAGTTCCCTTTTATTGCTGCCTTTGGATTTCTTGAAGGCAGTGGCATTTTTTACTCACCTCCATTTCCTGGCATCCAACCCAGAGCTTTGGCCCAAGCTCTTCTCAATAAGTATTCATTGGTTGAAAGAAGAATTATGAGCAATTCTGCCTGAATTATTTTCGCCATTTCCATGGACCTCTGAACAGTCACCATGTTGAGAGCTCTAAACAAGGCAGGTACATGGGGGAAGCTCCTCAGGCTGGAAGACTTGGGCAGGACTAAACTGTGTGGGACCTTGGTCTGTGTGGGCCTGGCACGGGCTTGTCCAGATGGGCATGGAGTTGTGTACTGTCCTAAGAGGGCATCCACCATGTGCCTTGTCTGCCTGGACCATCTCTTCTGAGCATCCATCAAACCCCAAGCTCACATTTCATGGATGGAGGCCATCAGTTTCAGTCAGACTCAGCTCCCTTTCCTGAATGTATGCTGTTGCTGATCCCAAACAGCTGTGATGGTTGTCGCTTGTCCATTTTCTCCAGCGATCCCAATTTGGGACATTCTGTTCAGTTTCCATGATGTGCACTGGTATCTTTCAGAAAATCTGTCTCAATGTTTGTTTCGGAAAGTGGTTGACTATGCAGTGAGTTTTAAGAAACCTTCTTCAATCTCTAGCTTGAAATTATCAAAGGGTCACTTTAAGCACATCCATTTTATTGTTTTTGATTCTTGTTTCTAAAAACATGTACAGAGAAGGGGTCAGGCAGCTGGAAGGAGTCAGCTGGTTCCTGAAAAGCACTTAGTATCAGCCTGTGAAATTAATTAGTATCAGAATGTAAGATGCCTCCTCTCCCAATCCTGGGGTGTCTGTGTGTGTATGTATTAACATGTATATGTGCGTGCGTGCGTGTGTGTGTGTGTGTGTGTGTGTGTGTGTGTGTGGTGTTTTGCTAACAAAACTGACTCTGCAACTTTGTTAATAGTGACCAAGCATGACACCTGGTGTTTCTTGACCTCCATTTTGTAAGTCAAGTCTCCTGTTGGCATGCACTTTGGTTAGGTTTCTTATTGCTACATATATTAGTTAGAGGATGAAGACATGAGGCCCAGGTCCTGTGGAAATAATCTCTGGGCTTCCTGAGCCCTGGGGGAGCCCTGCCTCACATTCACTGGCCCCTCCCATGCAGATAGCATCTTTACATGTTGTACCCTCCAGTGGACAAAATTGAGTTTCCCAACATACCAGCCTGTGGGTGAAGGAAACCTCAAGCTGCCACGCAGGGCATCCGTGCCATGTGGAAGCCCTCTTTGCCCCCATCCAGTTTAGGGGACAGAGGAAGAGTGACATGGGAGGAAGCCAGGTGTGCCAGAGCCTTTTTGAGCGTTTCCTGATCCCGGCCCAGATGGTTCTCCTGCATGAGAGAGATGCCTTTACAGTGTCAGATATCTAATTTGAATGTTGCTGGATTATATGTCTTTCAGTTGACAACAGCAGTGACCAGTGCCTTTTTATTAGCAAAAGTGGTCCTCTCAAAGGTATGGCTTTCCACTCTTTCTGTGCCGTGACTGTCTCTACTGATGCCTTGTTCTCTAGAATGAGCTCATGGTAACTGTGTTTGTCTCTCCTGGTCGCATCTGTTCTTCCAGCTTTTCTCACAAGGAGCTTTTGGCTATGTGCTGCCCATCATTTCCTTCATCCTTGCCTGGATCGAGACATGGTTCCTGGACTTCAAAGTGTTACCTCAAGAGGCAGAAGAAGAAAACAGTAAGTTTCTCTCCAAGTTTACCTCCTGAGAACAGCCAGGTTGGGGGGACAGGCTGCAGAGTTCTGGCTTCGCATTTTTTAGTTTTTTAATTTTTATTTTATATTGGAGTATAGTTAATTTACCATGCTTGTTAGTTTCACATATATAACAAAGTGATTTAGTTGTTCATATACATATATTTATTCCTTTCCAAATTCTTTTTCCATACAGGATATTACAGAGTATTGAATAGAGTTCCCGATACTATTCAGTAGGTCCTTGTTGATGATTTATCTTTTATATATTAGTGTATATATGTAATCCCAACCTCCTAATTCATCCCTTCCTCTCCCACCTTTCCCCTTTGGTAACCCCTTTGATGGGTTGCTGATGGAGATGGAAAGGAGAGGAGGAAGTTAGCCAGCCAGAGAAATGTTCACCCGTCTCAGGCTTTCCATCCTCCTCTGAGTAGAGGGTGAGAGCTGGCAATGTGTGGTCATGAATCCTGTTAAAGTTGTTATCATCTCCTTGTGTGGCTTTGAGCATCACGGCATGTTCACTGGGAGATCCAAGTGATTGAACTTTAGACTGAATTATTGGGCTGGAATTTTTCTCTGCGTGATGGCCTTAGTGGAAGCACACACATTCCACCTGTCCCCTTAGACACATATAATCAAAGTTCAAAGCAGAGACTCAAGACAGTTGTAAGACTTGCTGTTTTTATGTTCTCTCAGTCATCTGGCTGGATTTGCCCCACCTAATAGGCAAAAAAAAAAAAAAAAATTCTTATGTCTTACAGAAAGTTAAACATGATTATAACCTCAAGATATAATAGAAGGAAAAATAAACTTGTAAGTGGTTTTATTTTTCAAAAGTTCATGTACAAAGATGAAATCGGTGAGAAAAGAATTATCATCCAAGAATAGATTTTAAAACACATTAATCAGACTAAGATCCATCTTCTATCCTGTGCCCTCTGTTCTTTTATGAAACTGTATTGTGGAAAAGGGACAAGTAAAGCTAAATGAAGCCGCTTGTTAAAAAGTTGTAAATAGAGGAATTCCCTGGTAGTTCAGTGGTTAGGACTCTGGGCTTCCACTGCAGGGGGTGTGGATTCAAACCCTGGTTAGGGAACTAGGATCCCTTGTGCTGCCAGGCCTGGCCAAAAGTAAAAAAACAAAAATTGTTTAAGTTGTATATAAACATCAAACTGAACTTAAGTGAAAGTATGTCAGCTGTTCGTGTGACTGAGGCTTGCATGCCTGTGTGATTAAACTAAAGTCACTAATAAAAGAAGAACACATGATTAGTGAAAACATTGAAAATAGCATTTCTTTTCACTGTAACCAGTATTACTTGCACACCTGGCACCTGCTGTTTGGCCTGGTGCTTCCTCCAGCTTTATCTCGGTATAACCCAGCTTCAGCCAGAGGAACGCGTTGTCCACAGCCTCTCTGCTAGTGCTTTTTTGCTTTTATGCTGGCATTTCTCTAACCAGATTTAGACTGGAGGCCATTTGTACAAGCTCATGAGTTCTTTCTGTTTGTTTGTTTGGCTTTGTGCTTTGCTTTTGATGTTGTTGGTTTCTGTAGGGAAGTAGGTATTTCCAGATGAGAAGATTCTATTAACAGTTAGTTTTTGGTTGAAAGATTTTTCAAAGTACCCTTTCCTACTAAGAGTTTTTAAAATGTAATAATAATACTGTTTTATTTTGGTTACCTGGCCACAAATCTACCAGAACAGTGGCATCATTCCCAGCATCTGAATTTCTTCTCTTCCAGGACTCTTGATAGTTCAGGATGCCTCGGAGAGGGCGGCGCTGATACCTGGGGGTCTTTCTGATGGTCAGTTTTATTCTCCTCCTGAATCTGAAGCAGGTAGAAAATTTGATTTATCATTTATGTTTTTGTCTTATCATTCAGAAGCTTTCCCCCCTCACCTCACCCCCTGTACTTCTCAATATGCTTAGCAAACATTTAACATACCAGACATTTAGGATGTGAATATAAACAAGACATGGTCTTGATGTGCAACCCATGATGAGATGCAGAGTTGCAAAAATAAACATGGTAGAGGGCCTTACACACTGGTATGTGGACAGGGGAGAGTCTTGAAGCTCTCTTATCTGTCCCCCGCAATTGACCTTCCTCCGGAATCCCCCATGTCTGAGAGCAGCACCTACCCCGCTGCCCATGTCAGAAACCAGAGCCTCACTGGGGACTCCGCCCCTCTCCTGTGGCTCCCGGCCCATCGTTCACCATGCCATTTTGATCCTCTTTGTTGCTGCCTTCTTGATTTCATTTAAATTGTCATCACTTCTGTTTCTGCAACAGCCTCCTCCTCAGTTGCATTCTCCCAACCAGCCACCATAATACCATGTTAGATAGAATGACTGCATTGTTCTAAGGGTTCCTCATAACCTCTCTAAGGAGGTCAAAGTCTCATTATCCCTGTTTTAGAGATCAGCAAGTTGAAGTGCAGAGAGGTGAGATAGTTCATCCAGTATTACACAGAGTAAGAAGGTGAAGCTTGAACTTGAACCCCAGCTCCATGGCTAGCATCTATGATCACAGCTAATATATGCAAATTTTATATATTTTTCAATATTAGCAAAATTGACCATGTTATTATTCCCTTGCCTAAAAGCCTTCAGTGACACAAAAGATTAAGAAAGTGATTGGATCCTAAGCCTGGCAGAAAGCAGCTGTATGCCCATCTTTACCCATGGTCCAAACTCTCCTCTCATTATGCTCCTGTGTGCCATTCTCAGATTCCTGAAAACACACCAGAGCCCCCAAGCCATTGTGCATCTTGCTTGTTCTGTCCTGGACATACCTCAGTGGTCCTCGTGTCCACTCGGATGTTGAGAAGCCTTCTTCCTGACCGCACCCCCACCACGACCCCTGATTCCCCCCAGTCATCGGTAGGGCATCTTCTGCCTCATATTCTGTAAGATCCCTTCCACAGCGCTGTCATCCTGTGCTGACTGCACTGACTTTGGCAGTGACTTGGCCTGTTCCTATTACTGGGATGTAAACTTGAGTTAGAGGCTACATTATTTTATTCTCACATTACACATAGTAAATATTTTAAACACACACACAATAGAGTAAAACAAACTCCAGGCAGAAAGAGCCATGTGAAGATCAAAGACATCATATTGTGACAAAGGGAGTCAGGGGAACCTGAAGTAACTTGATATTCTGGACTATTGGTGTTGAATTTAAAAGCAATATAAAAGAAAACCATAGGGCTTCCCTTGTGGTCCAGTGATTAAGAATCTGCCTTGCAAGGCAAGGGACACCGGTTTGGTCCCTGGTCCAGGAAGACCCAACCTGCCACAGAGCAGCTAAGCCCATGTGCCACGACTGCTGAGCCTGAGCTCTGAGGCCCGGGAGCTGCACCTACGCAAGCGCGTGCGCCTGGAGCCTGTGCCCTGCGACGAGAAGCCGCCGCGGTGAGAAGCCCGCGTTCCGCGACAGACAGTGAAGCTGCAGGGAGCGACAAGACCCAGCCCAGCGGAAGAATAAAATAAATAAGTAACTCTTAAAAAACACCAACGCCGAATCATAGAGTCAGATGAAATAAAGATGTGATTGAGCAGAAAAGCTCTTTCTCAGTCCACAGACACTAGGATGAGTAGTAAACTTTTCATTACCTCGTTATAAGGATGATTTCCTTGAGATTGTTGTGTACCTTTTTACTGAGACTAACAGAATTTCTCAGCACCTATGTATACTTTTTCTTTTAATCAGAAGTTCAGAACAGCAGGATAATGTGAGGAATACCGCCTCAGGCATTTTTCATCAAGCAAGCCGTGGGCTTCCTCCTCTGACTTTTACCACCCCCTAGTGGCAGTTGAAAGCATTACCACGTCACAGAGTTATGAAGCTAAACAAAAACAACACTGGAAGCATTCCGCTGGGTGGCTGCATTGTTTAAGCAAAGACCAGTTTAGTGGTGGGCAGAGGAGTGTTCGAGGTGACTTACTTTACTGTATATTTTCATTATCTGTGTTCAGTTTAGGAAAGAATTAAGATTAAAGACTATTCTTGGAATTAAAGTGCCCAGAAGATTTTACTCTGAAGCTTTCTTGTTAGGTCAGTGGACAAATATTAAATGGTTTTCAGCAGCAGAAGTTATAAGCTTTTTATCCTAGTACCCTGCTGATTGGCCCCTAGTCATTAAGAGGACAGCTGGGGCCTGTCTTGCCTCTTGTCTGTCTAGTACCAAGTTGAGTGCCTGGTACATAGGTACATAGTAAACTTAGAACTTTTAAAGGAATGAATTTTGAAGGAAGAAAGAAATTGGGTCACCAAAAATTTAAATGTTAGCATTTTTCCTTGCAAAGGAGTGGCTTGAATTTTAAGAGTCACAGAGCCTTGGAAAATTAGCAGATTTTAGTGGATGTATTTTAAAGGATATTAGGTGGTTTGTTTGCAGATTTCCTTGCTGCTTTAGCCGTATCCTGTTTGCCTGTGTATTGAGTTGAAAGAATGAGGAAGCCCAGTTCTCAGATGGTTGGGTTAAAGTTCTTATGTGCTCAGATAATCAAAATGAACCACTTGTGATGTTGGATAAAAGGTAATTTATCATGTCCCGAATCACTGAACGGTTGACTTAAAGAAAACTCAGTCGCATCCTGTCATCTGTGCTAAACAAGTCTAGATAAAGGCACTGAAAATTTAATTTGACACCATCCATGCTGGTGTGGGCTGTCTGTGAAATTATGTCCCCTGTGGTGTGGCTGCAGATGTGTCTTCTCAGTTGGTATGGTTAGTTCTTTCATTTTTAAGCCTGAGTTCTTAGGAGTTACCCTTGTGTCCACATAGCATAGTGCTAACCAGTGATTGGACAGGTTTTGTGATCAGTCACCTTGGTTAAGACTTACATCCTCGGCCAGATGGCCATTTGTATGTATTGGATAGCGCATTTGAATTTCAGGTCTTTTCAAGTCTTCTTCCGCTGTGCTTTTTGCTGAATATTTTTGCATCTCCTCTGCACGTGTTTACAGCCTCACAGTCGCCTGGTCTAGCATAGGTTCTCTTGGGTTTCCGTTGAGTTTGCACACAGCTTCAGGCAAGTATATGCTCGCTGCAGCCTTGACCATCACCTCAAACCAGCAGAGACTCTGGGCCTTTGCTCACACACCACTGTTGCACCATTGCATTACTCCTCACCTCAGATGAAAGGAGCTCCTTCAACTGTGTAAATCTGCTGCCAGTCCTCACAGCCTGCCATACTTGGAAGAACCTTCATACCATGAAGCTGAGTGATGGGAGGTGGGGGAACAATATTGTTCTCTCAGTTCTGCAGTTTTTCAATCACTTCTCACAAAGTTTCAGGCCTTATTAGGTTGCCTCCCTAGCACTGAATCTGCTGTTTGGTTCATTAGTTTTTATACTCACTTTTCAGAGAAGACTGGTTGAACTCGTTCTTTGACAATAGCCAGAACACCTTAGTAGCTTTCACTTTGAGATTAGGGAAAGCATATGTATTATTGTGTTTTAAAAATTTGACTTTATTTAGGACTTCCCAGTAGTTCTAAAGCATGCCAGTTTATTGTGGCTTGAATGCCGTTACCCTCACAGGTGGAAAGTGAGCCCGGAAACAGGAAGACTCCATGTGACCACCTTCCTTAGACTCCTTGCCAAGTGAGATGGCAGTTAAACCACTCCCAAGTCTCTAAGATTTACAGCAGTGTAATATGCTGGGAAGTGAAGCCTTCCTGCCACTGCATCTTTATGTATTTGTTTTACCACAAACCTAATCTCAACGACATGATATTTGTGAGGTTTAGGTGTGGGACACAGACTTTTCCTTAAGCTTCTTCGGGGGCTCATTCTTCTGTGCCAGATTTGTTCTTGGCTATAATCCAGGCAGACGTTCTCCAAAAAGTGCCCTTTTTAAAAAAGAAATAAAATTATTGGATTATAGTTGATTTACAATGTGGTGTTAGTTTCAGTTGTATAGCAAAGTGCATCAGTTATACGTGATACCCAATCTTTTTAAGACTCTGTTCCCTTATAAGTCATTAGAGAGTACTGAGTAGAGTTCTGTGTGCACACAGTCGGTCCTTGTAAGTTATCTATTTCGTACATAGATTGTGTCTGTGTCAGTCCCGCTCTCCCCATTTATCCTGCCCCCCAGCTTCCCTCCTGGTGAACGTGTCCTTTTGAACTGTATTATCTGATAGGAGCAAAGTGACAGTGAGGCAGGCTGCTCTTGTGGGGGAGTAGGTAACATCCTGACCTGTCCCCTTGGTCTCCTCACCACTGTCTTTAGTTCCCATCCCTAAGTATGAGAGGAATGTGTCATTGCTATAAATATGTGAAAAGAACAAAAGTAGAAACTAACTCTCCTCCAAACTATTCAGCAACATTAATATTGACAGTTTGTTTCTTTCTACTTTTGTGTTTGCAATTTACATAATGTGTGTTGGCTATACTGTCTATATTATTTATACCTTTTTTAAAAAGTTACAAAGTCACTTTAGGTTTATTGTAGAAATTTTGGCATATTCAGAAATGTATAAGTCACCTGGTCTTTTTTTTTTTCCCTAGTCTTACTGATTCATGCTAGTATATAAAGTTTATAAGTTTTTATCGAATATGATCTTATACTATATTTCTTGTTATATATTTGCTTTTATTTTTATTGCATATACATTTCCCATGTTGTTGTGTACTATAGAATTATATTTCCATGAAATGAAAGATACTTCATGGAAATATAATAATTAATCATTTTCTGCACTCAGACATTAGATTTTTCTTCTCATTTTTAGAGGGAAAATCTCATAATGGAAAAAAGTGTTATTTCCTCAAGGATATATCCTAAGGATATCATCCCAGAGTAATGACTGGGTCCAATTGAAGAATAGTAGAAGGTAGGGGCTTCCCTGGTGGTCCAGTGGTTAAGATTCCATGCTTAAGATTCCATATGATTCTACATAAGATTCTACATAAGATTCCAATGTAGAGGGCATGGATTCGGTCCCTGGTCAGGGAACTAAGACCCCACATCCTGCATGTTGTGACCAAAAAATGAATAAAAGTAAGAATTGAGAAATAAAGTATGTTCTTAAAAGAAACAATAATAGAAGGGTCATGCAACATTGACTCAGAAAGGCTGTAACTGTGGTCGCTGAGACAGCACACAGTGGTGACACAGCTTCCCCCAGACTTTAGACTCCCCCTCTCTCACTCGCTAAATACAGCCATTTTTCAAATACATATATTAAATTATTTATACCAAAGAGATTTTCACTTGAAAATCAGGGAAGCTTTTCAGCAAAGAAGCAGATGTGGAGGAGCAGTGGGTAATAGTTCTTGGTCTATATGAATATTTTTAGAAGAACATACATGAAATCCATTGGACAGATTAGTGTGAATGATATTTAAAGGTTTTCCCTCTACAAGATATAATGTAAAACTATTTTACAGTTTCATTAACTTAAATCTTGTGGATTAAACACATGTAACCCTCATTTAAAATTTTATGCACGTATATCATAATGTTAAATTATTTGTTACTGTAATTGAATGTGGTGCTTTTTCTCCTTCCCCTTCTCTACCACCTAGGATCTGAAAATGAAGCTGAAGAAAAGCAGGACAGTGAAAAACCACTTTTAGAACTATGAGTAAGACTTTTGTTAAAGTAAGTCTTTGAAAATGAAACTGTAATAGTGAAGTGGTTGAATATGGAGCCTTCCTTCAAGTAGATTCAAAGTTAAATTCAGAAAATATGAGAGTGATTATAGTTATATTTCTCCTAATTATGTGAATTTGTCAGGCACATTTTATTATATAAAATCTCTTAACATTTTCTAGGTATAAATTGGCAGATGATGAAAACTACCTCAGAGACCCACATTTCTGAATAAGGATGGCTTAGTTTGTTTTGTTTATTGTAGCCAGAATGTCTCCATGGCAGGCATGATTTAATTACAAACCCTAACTTCTGAGGGCGGCAAGGGCAGCAGTCCCAGGAGGTGGTACTCTCCTTGTCTCCACTTACACGGAGGCAGAGAGACTGAGGGTGGGTGACTGGTCCAGGGTCCCACAGCTGGCGGGGGCAGAGCCGGGACTCAGGCGCCCCATCTGTACCGGCATCCACTCTGGTCCACACAGGCTGGTCATCTCTCAAGTGTGTTGGAGCTTCTGAGATGACAGGTGTGGTCCAGTCACAGCAGTCGGGATCCACATGCCTCCAGTTTGGGGCACATTGTTCAGTTCCTTCAAATCATCAAAGGAAACATTTCAACCTCACAAATATGAGCAAATAAACAGTCAATTGTAAAAGCCATAACTCTGCTTAATTATTTAACCACAGAAGGGAAAGAATAGATCTTAAAACTTAATCTGATAAGAAAAAAATAATCTGTAACTATGTATACTGAAGGATGTTAACTTATGTAGACTTACTGTGGTGACCATTTCAAAGTATATACAAATATAGAGTCATTGTGTGATATAACTTAAACTAATAAATTGTTATTTATCAATTATAACTCAATTAGAAATAATGAAATAAAATTTTAAAGCAGGAAAAAGTAGTGCACTGATTCTTAGAAGGTGGGCAGTTGGCATGGAGGCAGATAGAGTCAGAGGCTGCCAGAGTCCTGCTATTGAAGGCCCTGCATCAGTGGTACCCACTGTGCTTCGGGCCCGTTTCCTACAACAGTGCTCAGACATGAGACAAAATCATGGGCATGTGAATAGTAGATCCTTTTCTAAAAGGCTTCAAGTTCTCATGTTGCACTACCCATGGTTTTTCAAGTGTAGCATTTTGCCTTTTTACACTGCATCTCAAACATTGTTGTGTTCTCTCTTCTTCTAAGTGTGAAAAACCTTCATTGAAAGTCACCAGAAAGAAAAAGGAACTGGAGATGGGGGTCTCCCTATTGAAGGTTGAAATGGTGACATCCACTGCTGACATTGCTGAACGGCTAATAAAGAATTTATTTATTGTAATACCTCACAGACATGGTACCATACCCGCATCCATTTATGTCACCTGCCTGTGGCTGGTAAGATAATGTCGTGGCCCGCCCTGTATTCAGTGAGACTGGATCTGATCTGTCAGTGAATAGTTGCAGAAAGTCTTGTGCTGTGTTCCTGATCAAAAAGGCTTCTTAATATATTGGAATAACACTTTTTTAGTATGCAAAATATCTTTATTTTGATTTGCAGAATGGAATTTTTTTGTCTCATGTTTCGAATTTCTTTGGTATTTCTTTTTTAACTCCCTACATTTCCCTTATGTTTTTTTAACTCATGCACATGCGCTATTTGTACAATTTTAAAAGGTAATAAAATCCAACATATCAAAATGATTATTTTATTTTTCCTGTTTGCATTATGTATTTGGCCTAAAGTGTTGGAATTACAAAAGGGGAACCTGAGGGATTGTGAATACATATAAAGGGTCACCAGAGATAGAATCTTTTTCTTAGAAGTATGATCTAACATAGTCTGACTACCCTTCTTTAAACCCTTTCTATGAAATTATTTCCCCTTGTGTTTAGTTAGCTTGAATCAAAATGAACTCAATTCTATTGTGAGCTGTTTTCGTTAAAAAGAAATATTCAACTCAGTGCTTCATGGGAAGCAGCATGTCTGTCAGTTTCCTGTCATTATTCATTATGTCATTTAAGAACAGAAGTGCAGATGGAGCTCTCTGGGAGCCTGGGGCCTCACCAGAAGGAGCACCTTACGTGGAGAAAGGGGGAGCTCCAGGGTCAGGCTGTAGACTAAAACCTCAAGACTTCAATGGTGTCATCACAGTGAGAATGTCCTGTCCCAGGAGTGGACCTGCATCTACACCATGACCACAACGGGGCCTGAGCCGGACATCAGCGTGTGACTTTAACCTAGGAAGGAGCTCTCCCCCTATGCTCAGGCTGGACTAGGAGGACGTGGTCAGTCCTCCTGGGAGGGCAGGGACCCCAGATGTTGGCTCTCAGAGAAAAGACAAGAGGAAGGAAGGATGTGACTTGACTGTGCTGCAAGTTCTGACTGTGAGAGCTGAAGCCTTGACCTCAGCCAGAGCCCTGCTTCCCTCTGGAGCTGGACAGATGGAGTCCAGGAACTGGACCCCTCTCTGGACCTGCTGGGTGGGGTGGGGAGCCACCTGCTCTTCATGCTCATGTTGCTGAGCAGCCCTCTGCTATTCACCCAACACACTGTCGTCTGATTTACCATCTGCAAAGCCTTGCTCAGATTGACTCTGAAGTCATTTTGTCCCTTTTGGAGGCTTGGGTGACTCAGTATATATGATACTCAATTGCACAGCTAGGTGACCCCAGGGCCTTCTATATCTCGTTTCTCGTGAGGGAGAAAGCGTATCCCTGTTGCCCACATCTGCAGTCTTTCCAAGTCACTGGGTTCAGGGATCGGGTCTCATGTCACCTGGTCTACACTGAGAAAATAAAACCAAGACATATCAGCCTCACAGATCATGGAAGAGCACAGGTGGTTGGTGGAAGGAGTCCTGTGTTCCAAGGAGTCCTGTCTGCCCTTTCCTTCGGGGTCTTGAGGTGCAGCATTTGGACATCCTGAGCGTAAGGTTCCCAACTCACAGAGGAGCTCATTGGATGAACTCTATCTATAAAAGTGGGGAACCTGAACCCCCAGCCCAGAGTATGTGTGACAGTAATCGCAAGACTGTGCAGAAGGACCTTTTATTCCATTAAATGTGACCCTTTGAAAGTGAGCAAAGTTCGTTGTGGTTTAACTGTTCTTATTTTTTTTGTGACACCCCAGCTACACTTTGCAGAGATCCAGCCAGTGAAGGCCAGTTTGAGTTTGAGCTTTTTCCACGAATCAACCACACTTGACAGAGCACGTGAACAAAATTGAAACCTGAGAGGATGAAACCCCACCAACCACACCAGCGCCCTCCTGTTGCCACTCAGGCTGTCTCCCCACCCCCACTGCCCTCCCTTCTCTGCACCTCCCAGGCCAGGGCTGCCCAGGGTGAGAGAGGCAGGAAGTTGCTGAGAAGTTGGAAACTACCCAGCACTGCCCTTGGGGCCCCCGGCAGGGAAATCAGCTGCACAAAGCATTTGGTGGTTTGCATTTTTTCCATCTTGCCTTCTATGCTTTCCCAATGCAGAAATAGTTTCAGATGGCTAAGAGGAGGGCCAGGTATTTGGGCTAAAGATGCCTGATCACATTCTTCAGAACCAAGAAGACTAAATTAGATTTCTTCTTTCTTGTATCTGGTTGCTTCTTTTGTTTCCAGATCTGAACTTCTATTTGGTTTTCAAAAGAACTGGTTTCACGGAAGCTGAAGCAGATTGTAATCAAACAAACAAAAAACACCTTCCCAATTTTAAAGGAGACAATGTTTTTTCTAATACACAAAAAGGATTTTTGAATCACTTATTTTTTTTCACCCATGCACCATGCAGTGAACTTCTTGTTTTGTCTGTACCTATAGAAATAGACACATGTGTTAATGAGCATTGTTATAATATGTGTTACTATTGTTACTCGATAGAAAAAGTGATCAAAGGACATGAATAAATACTGCAGAGGAAAGGAAATCTGAATTGACTTTAAATATATAAAGAGATGCTTATCCTCACTCATAGAAAGAGAAAAGCAAATTAAAACCACAATGAGATAAATGAGATATTATTTTTCACCTGACAGATCAGCAAAATCCTGTCCTATGACATCACTCTCCCTGCATTAACCTACATTGTGGTATAGGTGCAGGTTGGTGCTGTGTCCATTACAGGCAATCCTAAAGGAAATCAACCCTGAGTATTCATTGGAAGTACTGATGCTGAAGCTGAAGCTCCAATACTTTGGCCACCTGATGCAAAGAACTGACCCAGTGGAAAAGACCCTGATGCTGGGAAAGATTAAGGGCAAGAGGTGAAGGGGGCGACAGAGGATGAGATGGTTGGATGGCATCACTGACTCAATGGACATGAGTTTGAGCAAGCTCAGGGAGATAGTGATAGGCAGAGAAGCCTGGGGTACTGCAGTTCATGGGGTCGCAAAGAGTTGGACACAACCGAGCAACTGAATAACAGCGACTGCCATTGCTGTCAAAATGACCCAATACACATAGTCAAAATAACACAAAACACTGTTATAATTTCAACATCTTTTGTAATAGTGAAAGAGTGGAAAAGCCAATAATATATCATGGGGGAATTTTGTAAAGTATTGTATATTCACCAGTGAAATACCACACAGCTTTCTATGTGTCCCTAGAGACTGACATAAAAGAACCCTATGCTGTGTAAGCACAAAGAAGCGCAGAATAATGTATATTGTTTACTACCTTTGTGTATGAAGCAGGAAATTAGAGTATGTATTCATGCATATACATTTGTGTTTTATTTGTTTACTATTTGTATGTTCATTTGAATTTGCTAAATAAATAAAAGCTAGAATGATGCAGAGGAAACGGAAGTGTAACCTGTAAGAGGTAGGGAGGTACATAACAGTGGTTGAAGCAAAATATCTTAATGTAGTTTTTAGTGCTTTGATTGATTTTGATTCATGTGATGGTATAATCTAATGATTTTACTGGGGTTTCCTAGGCATAATAGTTTTCAAATACACTTCTTAATTTCCCTCTTCTTTAAATAACTTATATTTTGGGGGAAGGTGCATAGTAGTCTGTCATATGACATCCTTTATTTTTTAGTTTCTAATTGGGCGTTTGGATTAATTTGGGTTTCTGTAAATGGTGCTATAGTGAATCAACATCTTGGCACCTAGATCTTAGTACATACATTTTATTTCCTTAGGAAATTGATGTGTCAGTGGTCAGAACACTTTCCAGGAAAGCAAGTTCTACACTATAATGAGCCCTGTGATGGTTCCTTGCTGCCTGAGATCTGAGCTGGCAACGTTGGAACTGTTTTGACCACTTGCTGCCTCAACCAGCTGCACATTCAAATTACTGAAGGAAAATTTTTTCAAGTCTGATACCTGGCCTATGATGAAGTCTGGATCTCAGTGATTCTTCCTTCTCTTCCTTCCTTTTCTCTGTCCTTCCTTCCATTTATTTTGAGTTATAATTCACATACCATAGGTTCCCCAAAAGATACCAGCTGTTATAATGGATAAAGCAGCAGGACTTAGGTCAGGCAGATGTGGCCCATGTGGACTCTGGCACTGCTCCGTGTTAACTTGGAGTACATTTCTTAGCTTCTCTGGGAACCTGGTGTTCTCATCAGTGAAATGAGTCATACCTGATCTGTATTTTAGTGAAAACATGAGACATGAAGCAAGCAAACTGCCCAGCAGAACTGATGCTCACTAAGTGGTAGGTACTTCCTGTAATTCAAAGAAAACTAAAGAAAGCAAACATACGGGAAGAAGCCTAAGAGCACATTACAGGGACCATGCTTTTACCCAGATTCGTTTTCATGACTAATAGAAATACTGAATTTCTAGCTTGTCAGCTGAGTTTTTGCAGCTTGGTGTAATATCTCTAGTTATCTCTTTTTACTCAACTTCTAATTGACCATTATATAAGATTTTGAATAAAGTGGGAAATCCTGTATTACTTAATCATGACCCGCTTGATTGACAACGAGCTTTCAAAAAATGAAGTCTTATGAGGGAAGGTATTCCAAAATAGTAGAGAGAATTCATAATGTGAAAGACTTTGAGAATTGTTGCCTTGGAGTTTCCCTTTTTTATTCTTGAGAAGTGTATAAAGTGCTCCAATTCTGTAAAAACTACTGACATGAGGGTTTTCATGTGGAACTGTACTCATCCTTGCCTCACTTTTCCATTGCACACCTGCAGATGCGGACTGCTCTTGAGATGTTTATTTTATGCAACGAAGTGTCATGGACTTTAGTCACAGAGGTCCTATTACTAGATGGAAGGTCACTGTATAAAAGCCTTTCCAGCGTGAAAAATTGGGGGATGGGTTGACCTATGACCCTCTAATTGCACACACAGCCTAGGTGCAAGGAGAGGAAACAGATAAACGGCAATTCTCTTCACCTGCTCTTAGCCTAATAAGGAAGGAAATTTTCTGGTTTTATTTTTTATTTTTTGATAAGTGGATTTATTATCTTTCTAGTTTTTATTGGAATATAGTTGCTTTACAATGTTGTGTTAGTTTCTGTTGTACAGCAAAGTGAGTAAGCTTTACGTATACATATATCCCTTCTTTTTGAATTTCCTTCCAGTTTAGGTCACCACAGAGCATTGAGTAGAGTCCCCAGAGCCATACAGTAAGTTCCCATTAGGCATCTAATACATAGTATCAATATATATAGTACCGTATACATAGTATCATATACTAGTATCACATACATAGTACTGTATACATAGTATCACATACATAGTATTGTATACATAGTATCATATACATAGTATCACATGCATAGTACTGTATACATAGTATCACATACATAGTATCGCATACATAGTACCGTATACAGAGTATCACATACATAGTACCGTATACATAGTATCACATACATAGTATTGTATACATAGTATTGTATACATAGTATCACATACATAGTATCACATACATAGTACCACATACATAGTACTGTATACATAGTATCACATACATAGTATCGTATACATAGTATCATATACATAGATCGCATACATAGTACTGTATACATAGTATCATATACATAGTATCACATACATAGTATCGCATACATAGTACTGTATACATAGTATCACATACATAGTATTGTATACATAGTATCATATACATAGTATCGCATACATAGTACTGTATACATAGTATCACATACATAGTATCATATACATAGTACCACATACATAGTATCGCATACATAGTACCGTATACATAGTATCACATACATAGTATTGTATACATATTATCATATAATAGTATCACATACATAGTACCGCATACATAGTATTGCATACAGAGTATCGCATACATAGTATCGCATACATAGTATCACATACATAGTACCGTATACATAGTACCATATATATAGTATCATATACATAGTATTGATAGTACATGTCTGTCAATTGCAATCTCCTAATTCGTCCCACCTTCCTTTCCCCCTTGGTATCCATATGTTTGTTCTCTACTTCTGTATCTCTATTTCTGTTCTGCAAATACAAACTTCCAATTGAAAGTAAAAGTAAACATCTATTCTAGCAGTAACTAATATAGAAGTTAGGAGCAGAGTTCCCGTAACCAGGCTGCTTGGGTTCAAATCCTAGGTCTCTTTCCTATTAGCTGTTTAACTCTGGGGTGTGTGTGTGTGTGTGTGTGTGTGTGTGTGTGTGTGTGCTAAGTCATTTCAGTGTCTGACTCTTTGCAACTCCATAGACTGTAGCCCGTCAGGCTCCTCTGTCCAGGGGATTTTTCAGACTCTGTTCTATAGATGAGGAAACTGAGGCAGAGAGGAGACAAGGAGGGTCTAACTCCAGGAACCCTCCTTGTCTCCTCTCTGCCTCAGTTTCCTCATCTATAAAACAGATCATTGCATATGTCTTGTGAGAGTTCAATAAGTTAACAGATGCTAAGACTAGAACCAGAAAGCCTTTGCTGTTATTACTTCATTGGGTTATTAATCACTGAATTTGTAAATTGCCATAGAAATCTGAAATGACTTAATTTGAACACCTGATTCTAAATATGGGTAAATCTTAGGCAACGTGATGTGGTCAAGGAGACATGATACAGCTGGTTAGAACAGACCAGAAGTGAAGGTTCTAACTCCTGAGGTGTGAGGTGGATCTCTGGTCCAGTGTTCCTCCCCCAGTACCACACAGTAGCTGTGCTGTGGTGGAGAAGGACTGGACCAAACTGATATATGCCTTCCTCCCACCTCAGAAATGCACCTGGGCACCTAAGAGGCTTCCACAGCGATTCTGAGAACCCTGGGTCTGCTGAGTCTAGGGCAGGAGCTGGGGTGTCAGGATGTTCAGAGCACCATCCACAGTCTTGCTCTGTCTGAGACTCAGTCCAGTTCATTATACTCCCAAAGAGCAGGTACTAACCTAGACACACTCGCAGAGTCAGGCAGAGTTTCCGTAGTGTTGATAACAGAGAGAGCAGCTATGGTGATTCCCGAGAATATACAGGAGGAGAAGGCAGATGCACCCACAAGTCCTTAAGAAAATTCTCACGGACTCTTTGGAGGAGGCCTTTAGCAAAGAAGCAATGCATGTTCTGTTTTGTTGGGGTTTCTTTTTGTTTGTTTGTTTTTCCCAGTAGCAAATGAGTCAAGGGAAAGCCACAGGATCCTAGGAAACAAAATATGGGCTCTGAGATCTTAGAGACATGGCTCTAAGTGACTATTACTTACAAAAGAGTGACCACGAGCGGAATACTCAATCACTCCAATCAGTAAGCTATCGACTTTAACTGTACCTTCCTCCGAGGGCTCTTAAACAATTAATGGGATTCCTGGTGAATTGTTAAAGCTGAGTCCCTTAAGACAAGTCCAACTTGTCTGCAGGGATATGAGATCACCGATGATTCTTGGTAGTTCGGTGTATGTGTAAAATCTACTGGCTTTACAGCAGAGCTACAGACAGTAGATGCTAATACGGCTGAGGGCTTGCACGGTCCAAGCATCACTGACATGCCTACTCCTCATGTTCCAGGAGCCAGAGCTGTAACTGTTACACAGACGTGGACATCATGGCACTGCGAGTTCAGATCGCTGCCTGAGGTCACACAGGTACTAATGCAGACCCAGGGTTCAAATCCAGGCCCTCGAGTTCAGAGTCTTCATGCTGCACCCCCCACCCAGGGCCCCACTGGCGTTGCTGCAGTTCTCGTGGGGCTAATGTGAGGAGCAGGAGGCAGTGCTTGTGAGGCACTACTACAGATCTGAACACGCACAAGTGCAAGTCAGGCTGGTGTCAGTCACACTGTTGCCACAGAAACA